GACCTGTTTTTGTCTTTTTTTTTTTTTTTAAAGAGAAGTCATATTCTTCCTTTTCCCCAGATGGAATGATCCTGGTGGTCAGCTCTTTATTCTAAGCATGCTCAGGCACACTGCTGGCCCCAACTGCACTTTTCATTTCAGTTCTTACACGTCCCAACTGTGGAATTTTTTTTTTTTTTATGATTTCTAACTGTTGTGTTAACTTTCCTAGGGTGAGATAAACAGACATCTTCTCACCCCAGATAGGGAACTGATCAAAGTTAAGGATGTAACTGCAAGAGCATGAACAACTTTAAGGAGGTTGTGTCATTGAAAGCCTACTCCCTGCGGAGTGATAACCGGTGACACTGGGGCTCTCTGTGTGACTTGGAGTCAGCTCCACAGCGTGGCATCTCTCTCCCCAGAAGTCCTTAAAACCTATTTAACCTAGGGGACAGAAGGGCCCTGTGAATCTGATTTCAGGGACTTCCTGACACTGTTTCCTTTCTAAATCTTAAAGACTCTGTCTACCTTTAGAACTACCTGAGTCTTCATGAGCTTCACAGTAGAGTAAGTGTTTCCATTTGGAGGAAATTGCCACAGTATATCAACTGGTGCATGTGCGTGGGTGCGTGGGTCAACTGGTGCATGTGGGTGCGTGCGTGTGTGCGTGCATGTGCATACTTATGTGTGTTGGTTGTTTTGGTTTGTTGTTGGTTTGGTTTGGTTTGGTGGGGTTTTGTTTTATTTTCAAACAGTGTGTCTATGTAGCCCTGCCCATACTGGAACTCTCTCCATAGACTAGGCTGCCCTCGAACCTACAGAGATCTGTACCAACTGTTTTACTTTCTCATTTGGTGTAATATTGTCATCTTTCCCAGTAGTTGTTTAGACTTGGCTCATTTATCTGAACACACTGGGGGGAAATAAAACTGATGTAAAGTCTGTGAGAGTTTTCTGTGGACGGTTCCTGTTAATTCTTTCTCTGACATGTGGTCTCTGTACATTGTGGTGGGTAATTTGATTGTCAGCTTGATGGATTGATAAGTGCTTAGAAGGTTAACGTAACACATGTCTGGGTATGTCTGTGATGGTATCTGCAGAGACATTGAACTAAAGGGTAAGACCTATCTAAATGTTGGCAGCACCATACCATAGGTGAAGGGCCTAGATGGAATAAAAGGAGAAAAGCCAGATACCATGGGCATTCTTTCTCTGTGTTCCTGGCTGTCATGAGATGAGTCATTCTGCTCCACCATGTCATCCCCACTGTGATAGACTCTGAAATCCCAAGCCAGAATAAATCTTTTCTCTGTTGTTTGGTTCATGTATTATATCACAGCAAAAACACCCCCCCAAAAAAACCCCACTGAACTATGTGCCTGTATAATAAATTTTTGATGGGACCTAGACATTTAGAATAATATAATGAGGTAGTTTTGGAGGTCACACATACCCTCACTATACTTTGTTACAGTTTGGTGACTTTCCTGAACAAATTGTGTAAAGTTTGTACTCTTTGTCATGAGGACCCTGAGGTCTCCTCTCAGCTTAGTGGTGATAGGACAGATGTGTCCCTGGAAGTCTGGATGTAGGATGTTCCTTGCAGAGGGGGCTTCTGTGTACATGGTGGGCAAAACTGTCAGTGTTCCAGCAGGCAGTTTTCAACTGTGCCTGAGTTTTTACTTTCTGTTTACATAGAATCTCAGTCACAGGTGAGGGCTCAGGTTCTTCTAGGGTCTCTCTTGAGCATGCAAGCCCTGTGCCTTGAGCAACCTCAATTCTGAGGATATGTCAGAGCTTTTCCAAGTCAGCTACGAGCATCTGATTCCTTAGCTTTTCCTGCTAAGCTTTTTAATTAGCTCATTGTTTGTCTGAACTGTTACCTCTCACCTCATGGTGTTATTGATCACTTCTCTTTCTTTTCAACAGATGTCCTTAAGGAAAGGGCTTTTGCAACAAAAAAATGAGCTGGTTGTTTTCCTATCCTGGGTTCCTGTCTACCCTCATTGTGAGAACTGAGTGGGGAGACAGCAAAGGGAAATTCATTTTTCATGCAGGAGTAATGCTTTAAACAGGAAAGTAAAACTTAAAATAAGAAGTAGAAACTCTGGGGCCCTCAGCAGCAAAGGAATGCCAACCAAGAGCTGTGGGTATCATAGCTCCATGCCCCCAGCAGGCTTTAGGGTGCAGCCCAGAGAAGTCAGTGGCAGTATGGTGCCAAAACTCTCTGAGGGCTTCAAATGCCAAATCAAGAAAAGTTCCTTCAGGGCACATCTGTAGAAAGCAGATCACCAATAGCAGCAGCAGGAGGAATATGTCTCTGGCATGTCTGGAAGGCTAGAGTCACAGGTTTCTGGAGCAGCAGGTCTTGGGGGCTGGAGACAGCTGCAAGAACAAATACCTTTCTGCAGCTGGAGCATGGAGTCTTGCAGGCTGAGTCAGGAATGAGTCTCCCTCAGAAGTCTGATGCAGTGAGTCTCAGCAGCATCTGTCTCTGGCAAGTCTTGAAGGCAGTCTTCCTTTTCCAAAGAACACAGCATCTGGGAACCTGCCTACTGGTCAGAGCCAGCAACTGGTCTCTGAAGTCTTCATTCTCTTCCTCCTCTGATGGTCTGGCGAGTCTCTTTCCCCGGAACTTATTGGCTCAGATATATATAGTGCCAGCTGGGGCCTGATTGGCTGAACTGAATGTGTGTAAAAGCAAAGATTGTGAAAATGGGATCAGTCAAGTGGCAGCTGTCAGATCTAGGAGGGGAAAGAGAAAACTCATCAAACCTATGCATGTTTGCAATTAGTCACTTTCGCTGTCTCCTCTCCTTCCTCCCTGTTGTCAGGGGAATGCAAGTAGAGAGAGGGGGGAGCCTCCTTTGGCTTTTCATGTTTGTCCTTGCTTTGAGCTTGCTTTCAGCTGCATGCTAGCACCTTTATTTAGACTGCCATGAAGCCAGTCTATGTCTCAAGCCATCCAGTCCATCACTACCAGCTGTCAGACACATGCCGCTGTTGTTAGGGATCCATTCTTGCATGGATTCTGCTTTGTTCTGAACCTTTGCTGCCATGGCAGCCCCTGGGAAGTAGGCACCTGGTTGTCAGAAGTATGGCAGCCCATGAGATTGATGCAGGGGTCAGGGTCCCTTCAATCAATTGTGGGAGTGTCAGGCATAGCCCATCTCTGCCTCCTTGACTTTAGGGTTTCTGGGACTCTTCCTACTCCTATTTAAAAGCCCCAAAGCAGGGCAGATACACATAGCCTTTGTGATGGGGTCTTCTAGGAAACTACCAGGTAGGAAAATTGTGATATTTCCCTCAATCAAGTACTTTGATAGAACTAAACCCATTCTGCTGAACTCCAGGGTCTAGCAGACACTGATTTTTAGCATGATGGTGCTTTTCAAGGCCACTACAGAGCTGGAGTGTAGGTAAAACAGGTTAAAAATATCTACTTTGAACTTGTTCAGCCTTTTTTTTTTTTTTTCTTGTTCAAGCCTTTGGTTAATTCCAGAGTTCTGGAAAAGTTGGATCATTTCTGTTCATGCTTTTGTTGCTTCCATAAAGAGGCCCTTTGCATGTACTTGTTCGCTATGACTGTTGCTCTTTCAAGGTGTGTTCAATCTGAGGTTCATAGCCTATGGGATCCCCCAAAGGTCAAGACAAGTCTGTCCTTTGCCAGTATACCTGTTGCAGTGTTACTTGCAATAACACTGAAAGCTCAGAAATGAGGAACTTCCAAGGCAAGCGTGTAAATTCTGGATTTCATAATCCAGTGCAGTCAACAGTGATTAAGAGATCAGGAAGGCATGAGTGAAGAAGGGATAGAAAGCCAAGTTCCACATTTAGAAGTTCCGTGTCTGAAGCTGGCTCTGAAGGTTATATCTAGTGTCTTGGAGTAAGGTAATAGGCCTCTCCAATTTCCATTTCCTCATCTACAACATGACAGAGCCATGGTGGTGAGTTGGATTATAAACAGAAGCATTCATGCTAAGCTGTCATTGTGCTTGATGTTACTGTTATTCAGTAGAAAACTCTTTGTGATATGATGATAAATAAGATAGTAGGGTATGAGATAGCACACACACATAAGAAATATCTGATGTAAGATATTGAAAACATGGAAATAGGGTATGTGATGATTTGAATGAGAATGGCCCTCATAGGCTCATTTGTTTGAATACTTGGTCCCCAGTAGGTGGAACTATTTTGGAAGGATTAGGAAATGTGGTGTTGCTGAAGGAGGTGTGTCACTGAGAGCAGGCTTTGAGGTTTCAGAAGACTCTTACCCTTCCCAGTCTCTCTTTCTCTCTGCCTCCTACTTGTGAACCAAGATGTGAGCTGTCAGCTGTTCCTGATGCCACACCTTTGCTCTGCCACCATGGACTCTAACCCTCTGAAACTGTAAGCCCCAAATTAAACTCTTTCTCCTATAAGTTGCCTTTTTCTATGGTGTCTTACTACAACAATAGAACAGTAACTAAGCCAGGGGAAATTCCTTTGCTCAAAGCATGGGAAAGCTATGTTCAGAAGAGAATATAGCACAGTGAGGGGATTATAAGCTTTTTCTTTACTCCCTCCCCCCACAAGGTTCCTAGTTTTTTTCTTTGTATGTTTTTTGTTTTGCTTTGTTTTGTTTTTTGAAAATGACTTAAGTAAGAGATTCTCCTCAGGGAGGCAGGGCTTCCTGGATGCAGCATTAGGGACTTTGGGGTCACCATTAGTCCTGAATTTCAGAGAGCCAGATTTTGTCAGTCTTTTTAAGGGCTTCTTGTATTCTAAGTCCCTGATGCCTCCTGGAGAGCCTCAGAAGGAGTTGAACTCCTAGGTGAACCCCTTAGATTCTGATGGCCAAAGGTACAGCCGTTGGGGTGGGGGGGGGGCTCTTCATCACCCGGCAATTCAGAGCAGCTGTGTTACTTTCCAGTACTACCCGAAGGGCGAAGAAAGGACACATGGCATGCTCAGTGCTATGCCAGCAGCTTGTGCCAACAACCTCTATGACTATCACCATACTTGCTCTGTTTCAGATTCCGGGGTGCACCAATTATTCCCGTGGCAGCCAAGCCTGGGGGACCAGAGGCCCCTGAAACGGAAGCTCCACAGGGCATCTCAGAACTCATTGAGGTAATGTCAGCTTGAGCCCATGCTGCCCTCTGCTCCAGCCCTGCTCAAGTACCCTTCCATGCCTCCCTCTGCCTGAGAGGCAATCGTAGCAAAAGGTCTCCCGCTCTTTCTGATGTCAGACTCCTCACCTCCTCAGAAACTCCAAAACTAAGGCCCATAGAATCCATGGGCACTGGGGATGTGCAGAACTCTTCCCACCCACTGTCTTCTACTCTACCCCTTCTTTTTCTCACACACTTCCATTCAAAGTAGTGCCTACCAAGGTTACCAGTCCCTCAAGCCTCTCCCCTCACACCTCATTGGAGACTTAGTCCTGTACAGCATATCTGATCACAAGGTCCATTCCTGTCCTTCAGACTGTACTGTTCTCTCCAGTTTGCTTGCAGCTGGAGCAACACAGCCTCCATCCTGACGGCCTCCACTGGAGGAGTAGACATTTCATCTTGCAGAACTATGGGTTAAGACTCAGGCTGTTCCTACAGTTTCAGTGGCAGTGGACCCAGACAGTGAACCCAGTCATGTGGGGTGGGGGATGGCTAGTGCCCTTTCCTTCTCACTGAGCAGAGAGCACTGACTGCATAGCAGAAGCACAGAGCACAGTAGTGGTGCTCACCAGCTTGCCGGGAAATGGGACTTCCATCCAGTCATCACCCTGGTGGTCCTGGTGAATACTGGTTTGACCACTGTCCTTGTCCTGCCGCTTGCCTGGCGGGTGGCAGCAACTTCCAGGTCAGCCAGCAGATAGGGATGTGTGCAAGGTGGTTGAGATAGTGATATGAAAGAAGAAGGCCATGAGGAGGAAGTACAAAGTGACTTCACTGCGCCCAGATGCTGACATGGGTGTGGGAGCTCTGTGCTAGACTGTGCTAAGTGTTGGATTGCTCTCTGATTGGATTGCACACATCCCCAAAGGCTTAGGCGACAAGATAGGAAGTTTGAGGCCAGCGTGCTTAGTGAGATCCTGCCTCAAACAACAGTATGGCTGTAGCAGACAGTTCATTTCATGCCGTGAACAAAGTCACAGTACCGGGAAGGTAATGGCACTGTCACAGAGATGCTGTGAGGCTAATTGAGTTATTAGGGGTGATATGTTTACCACATGATTTGGCATATTAGACTCCACATTTAAGTCTTTAACATACTGGGTCTGCAGTATTTTCAACAGCTGGAAGGCTGAGGAAGAGAGAGCTCAGAGAAGTGAAATGACCTGCCCCAGTCACTTCATGACAAGTTTATGGGCACATCCCCTCCTGAGACACCTGATCTAGGTCCTGATCTCATGCACTGTCCTTGCCTGGGATGCAGACTCTCAAGATTTCTACCTGGCCCCTAAGTGTCACACAGACCCCATCTTCCATGTGTCCTCTTCCTCCTCATCAGACACCCATGATAGGCAAGTGTGGAATGTCAACTTCTCCTAGAGAAGTTACTTCCTCTTGAGAGGCCTCTTCTTCAGGTCTGAGGCTCCCCACCTATCACATTCCCACACCCCCACTGTATGAAATAAATTGATATGGACAATTCTTCTGGGCCCTTTCTGTTGGGCCAGGATCTCATTAAGTAGATCAAGCTGGTGGAACTTTGTGTCTTACATCCTGAACCTTTGAGGGTGTGTAACATAATGCTCGGACTTCCTACTTTATATGAGGGAACAGAAAAAAGAACATAGGTCATTTACCTACTTATCTTAGTGGGAACTCAGATCCAGACCAATGGTCAGAGTTTTTTGGGTCACCTACATCCAGATCCCCAGAGGTAAGTTCACATGTGACTGCCATAGGCCATGCCTATGTTTCACACTTAACAAATGTTTTCTGAGAGAGGCTCTTTTTATTCCACCAGTTACAGAGAACACAAATCTGGGATCCTGGGACAATTTAAACAAAATCCAGAAAAATATGACTATGACAGATATTGTATGTTCCTTTAAGGAGTGAGCCTCTGTGGAAATCTCAGACCAAGTCTGTTCTGAGTCTCTCCATTATTTTTTCAAAGGAATTGTTATCATGAGACAATGCTTTGAGAACAGTTACTTCTGACCTGAATACTTGGATATAATTACCACTCCCTCGTGAAATCAGAAAGTAAAAAATGCAAAGAGCAGTTGTGGCCTCTGTGCTCTTTAAAAAAAACAGTGATTAGCTCTGACAGCATCTCAAGCACATAAATGACCTGAGGAGCAGTGGCCAGGTGGTAGGTACTGTTGCATATGGAAAGTCAGCCATGAAGGAAAGACCACAGGAGCCTCAGGGCTGAGTTAACTTAGATCTGCATTTGTTAGGGCCTCACAGAGGGCAGAAAGGCTCCCCAGCACATGTGCAAACCTTGGCCTTGTACCTCAGGCATAGGCTGCTGCCCCTGGAAGCCAGCCTTGTGCCCTCTCACCTCAAGTTTTCCCTCCATTTGTCCTTCCTTCACATGCTTTTCCCTCAGGCATGGTACCAGCTACTGGAGATCTCTCTCAGTCCTTCATGACTTTGTGGAATAGGGATAGGTAGCCATTTGTTAACAGCAGGGGGTGGTCTGTAGTGATAGGTGAGGAGACTCAGCCTTATAGGAAAGGTCTCTGCAGAGGCCTGCCTGCTGTGGGTGCCTGGAATTAGGGTGCAGCATGGCAGACAAGGCCTATATGGCTCCTGAAAACTGTATGAAGAATCTTAGAGCCTGCAGTTCAGGCAGGGACTATATCTGAGGACTACAGGTCAGATGTCCTGTAGTAGCTACTTCCACTGCAGTATGGAGGCCTCACCAAGTCCCTGTTTCCACTCATTGAGTTAAGTTGCAGTATTGCTCCTCTGATCTGAGCCAGCTTGCCAGGTAGCCCTGGAGGTAGCCAGTGACATAGCTGCCACGCCTGTAGGTAGTTATAGCAGCATTTCTTTTCCAGCTCCTGAAGTCCCAGATTTCCATCCCAGCAAGAGACCCCTCGGGACCGTTCCTTATGTCTGTGGACCACTGCTTCTCCATCAAGGGTCAGGGCACTGTGATGACTGGAACCATCCTCTCAGGCACTATCAGCCTCGGGGACAGTGTGGAGATCCCTGCCCTCAAGGTCAGTCCTGCCTTGACTCTCCTTTGTCCCTCACAGCAGCAGGGGAGAGGACATGCCCCTGTTCTTCAGAGTCCACTGGACCTTTCCCAAGTCTTCTTTTCTACCTGAGAGCTGAGGTAACCTGCTGCTCTGAGGCACGTTCAACCACTGTTCAACCCCTTTGGCTTTGTAGTGTTCTCCTGTATTCTAGAACTACTGCTTTCCCTAGTCTCACAACAGTGACTTTGTGGTGGTGGCCCACATAAAAGGTTTCCAAGATAAAGATACTGAGTCTTCAGGGGTGAGGTGAGTTTTAAGAGCATGTGATCAAGAAACTAGGGCATCAGGATGAGAGTCTAAGTTTTCTGCATGTTGACAAGAAGTGTGGTGGACCAGACAAGCCTTGAATTTGTGATTCTCCTGCCTCAAGCTCCCCAGTGCTGAGATTACATGTGGGGTGTGTGTGTGTGTGTGTGTGTGTGTGTGTGTGTGTGTGTGTGTGTGTGTGTGTGTGTGTGTGCGCGTGCGTGCAAGCTACTAAACCTGGCTTTAGAACTCTGGCACCTTTTTCTTAACTATGAGAATTTTAAATCCCTGTAGTTTTGAGCAGTCATTCACTATGTCAGAAATACAGATCACTCTGCATTCTCGTTGGCCATAGCAGGTACCCTGTAAGCCATTTGAGTACCCTTAGGGAGAATGGAGGCTTAGGGTCTGCCTGTCTTCTCCTTCTCCAGGTACCATGGCCTGGTTGGCCCTGATAGTGAATTTATTCAGAAGTTGTTACTTACTTGAACCAGCTACTAAAGAAACTAAGGCTGGGGAACTTAATATGGTCCTGTCTCCAAAAGAAAAAGTGAGGATGAGAACCTGACAAGAGCTCATTGGTGGGGTGCTTGCCTAGCATAAGACCTTGCAGGGTGATCTGCCAATGTTTAAGCATATGTCTGGGCACCATGGTTCAGCCATGCTGACACATGCAGTAAGCATGTTACTGAGCAAGCAGGCCAAAATTCACCACTTGTTCTGAGCAGGAAAGGGCCTTCTTGTTCCTGCACCTTGTGTCATCTCTGGTTTACAACAGTGTGGTTGGGCACGGTGAAGGGGCATTTTCTAGGGACAGGGATAAATAGTTTTGTATCTCACATTAAGGATTGGTGGCAGAGGGAAGAACTCCCTATGAAAGGAGATCCAACTGGGGAGGGAGGGACTAAGTTCTTACAACTCTGAGGACTCCATGGATGATGCGGTCAGAATGGGGCAGCAAGGTCCTGTCCTTTCTTAAGGATAATTGTGGGAAAATCCCCTTCTCTTCCCTCAGTGTACATGTTCCTCTGAAGATCATGTAAGTCAAAGCCATTTTAAGCCGGGGATTAAAAGTACAGATTGTACAAAATAAAGCATAAAATTATGAAAATAAACTAGAGTATTATATTTGGAAACTTTTATGCATTCCACTTAGTCCCACAACTGCTTATAAAATAATCATTCTGAGGCTTAATATTAATTGTAATTGTTTGGCCAATGGCTCAGGAATATTATTAACTAGCTCTCACAATTAAATTAACCCATTTCTGCTAATCTGTGTATCACCTTGTGGCCATGGCTTACTAGTAATGCTCTGGCATCTTCCTCTTTTCTGACTCCACCTTCTTTCTTCTTGTATCCCTGTTTGGATTTGCTGCCTAGCTTTATTCTTTCTGGCTATTGGCCAAATCAGCTTCTTTATTAACCCATGGCAATAAAACATATTCATAGCGTACAGAAGGGCATCCCACATCAAAGTCTGTTTAACAAAAACAAGACTAAAGGTGTGACTGTGTGCTAACTCTTAGTTGGAACAGAAAGTAAATTGATGATAAATTTCTGAACAGTTCCTGTGTTCAGCAAGGTAGACCTGTAGGGCCAACTTGATTAGCTCCTTCCACCCTGAGCAAAGACACATTGGTAGCTTGAGAGAGAAGATAGGAAAGAGGTGTGACAGGAGGGCTCTCAGTGGTGAGCTTTGATCTAGGGGTCTATTGGACAGTTGAGGGAGTAGAGAAGGCTTTTGATAGCAAGGTCAGAAGCTGCAGGGCCAAGACTAAGGGTTTGGAGGGAAGATAAAACCAACATCCTTATCCTGGTAGGCAGACAGATATTTGGGTTGGTTGGGGACATGTTCTGAAATCCCTGGCCACCCCTTTCACCCATTGAGGTAGAATTTGCCCATCCGCATCCTGACCTGTAGCCTCAGGCATGTGACAGATGTTTAGCACCTGCACATCCGGCTCTTTCTTCTTCTGCTGTGGTATACCTGTATTCCCATGTGACTTGTCAATAATCTTACGGATCAGGGAAAGCAGAACTTGTAAGTGATATATTTGGATTGTCAGCTAAGATTTTCAAGCACAGTGTTGAGGATGCAGCCTTCTCTTTTCTGCTTAAAGTGAGGAGTGTGGAGAAAAGAAGGGACCAAGGAAGAACTGTTAGGGTGTGGGTATTCCACAGCTTCTCAGACTGCCTAGTCTGCCAAGGATTAGGAGATGGCTGTTGAGAAAGCACAACTGCAGTGGGGGCATCCTTTCACTGAAAATGTTATGCTGTGCCTGGTGGACCCAGTCAAGCATCTCAGAAGAAGCTGGGATGGAAGTGAACTTGTTGAAGAAGGGTGTGGGGGGGACCTTTCTTGTCTAATGGCACAGATTCCTGAGGTGCACATGGCACACCCCCTCCATGTCAGAGACTGTTGTACTAGCAACATCCTGGACAGGAAGGGGCAGAGACCTTGACAAAATGGGAAGAAATTCTTGGGCTTGGATACTACACACAGGAAGTGATGGTTCTTGGGTTACTAATGCATACTATCATTTCATGAGTAAAAAACTATGACAACTCTAAGCACAGAGTCAGAGAAGTGGGCCTAAGATGGGACTGTTGGAGTTCTAACCCCAGGTAAGGGCTGTTGTGTGCCCAGCTTTGTAGCCATGCTGCCATTCTCTGCAGAGGCCCTCATGGCTGCATGTGCACAGAAGCTCACCTCAGAGCCTGAGTCCCAGTCTCTTGACCTGTCATCCCTCCACTGGCTGTGATTGGTGGCCAGTGCCTGTCAAGCCTGTCAAGCAGGAAGGCATCATAAACCGTGGCCTTCTTCCGAAGCTCAGTGCCATCCTTGTCAGATTTCACTAATAGACGCAGACACGTCTGACCGCATGAACTCCCTTGGAGGCAGCACATAGCCATTCCAAATAAACAGTGCATTCCCCTGGCCATACCTTGGCCTGTTTCTGCTACCATGTCCATTCCCAGCTGGGGCTGATTAGCTGAGTGACGAAATGTTGGTGAACTAGGAGTAAATGGGGGGTGGGAGGGAATCTCATTCAGATCCCAAAAAAGGTTTAAATAGCAAACATCCTGAGAGTCACAGCTTTCTTCTCTGTCTTGGGTCTACAGGTTGGGGGGGATCCCTCTAGTGAGATTTTATCTTGGGATTGTAAGCAAATCATATTCCTTTTGGTGATTGGCTACTGGGTTATAATACCAGAAACTGTCAAAGCCTCAGACACAGAAAAGAACATGCTGGGCCTTTAGGACACACCTGGCATTTTCCAGCTCTTTGGACCCAGGCAGATTGCTCAGCCTCTCTGTGCTATACTGATTTAGTGCAGATAAACTGTGTGCTTGCCTCTGGCCAGGGCTGTGGGGCAAAGGATTCGGGAGCATTGGGTAGTATTTGACAAGGCTTCTGCACTAGGAGTGGCAGTGCCTAAGTTGACGTTTTTGGCTCTTTTGTTGCATTTTGGTATCACATGTGGAACTCTTGTTGTGGATTCGGAGAGATAAATGTGGTATGGCCTGGTCTCTGAGGACTACTGAAGAACTTACTGAAACGAGATGTGCTCTGCAGAGAGCTATCCCAATGCTGGGATAATGGTGAGATGAATTAGGAGCATATTTAAGTACTTAGTTATGAAACATGTAGAGAGTTTGACTTTGATAGCATATTCCTGTCATGATCAGACTTATTTATCCCCAGAGAAGACTAGGAAAAACCGTCAACACTACAGGGCATTGTTGCATTTACCTTTGCCTGGCTCTTAGAAATTGGTCACAAGATGCTGAGATTATAACATCTGGGAAGAATAATTGACTTCACTTCCAGAGATTTCTACTTCCTTCTACTACTATTTATTTATTTAATTTTTAAAAATGAGATGGGGGTCTCATATGTAGCCCTGTGGCTTGGAACTCACTATGTAGACTATGTGATTTTTTAACTCAAAGATCTGCCTATCTCTGCCTTCCAAGCACTTGGATTAAAGGCTTGTGCCACCAAGCCTGGTTCTGTCTACCTTTCTTAGCTTCGCTTTGATGTACTCTGCTAACAGTCCCTGAGGTCCTTTGCACTCTCAAAAACTCTGCAGGTCTCTTCCCCTTTCGAGACCTAACTCATCTCAGCCACAGTGATGAGCTTGGGCTTACACTCCTGACAGCTGAAGAGAGGGCTCTGCTCCTGCCACTCAGGCTGCTTCTGGCTGAGAGTAGATGTCCTGGCCTGAAGGCTTGAGACAGGGCTCTCACAAAGCCCAGTCCTGAGGTAGGTCGATCCCAGAGGCCTGCAGGGCTCAGTCCCTACTTCTAGGCTCCTCTTTTTACCTCTCTCATCTTTCTTGTGCCTCTGTAGGCCTGGCAGCTGAAGATATTTATGACCTTCCATGTGCAGGCTCCTTCCTTGCTAGTGTCTGGAGGAGAAAGGCTGGCTTTCCTGGATTACCTTCCTAAGGCCCAGGATTCCACTTCAACTGGCAGGTGAAGGGAACCCTAAACCATCAGAATGGCCCTCTGGGAAAGAGTAGCATTAGGGATTAACCCTAGGAGTATGAAATCTCAGGTCTGAAGGGGGAAGTGGACATACAGCATGGAGCATAGGCTTTATAGCACAGAACTGAGCTAGCTCTGCAGAGGGGCTTCCCTGAGCTGACAGGACCGACCTTGTCCCTACCTCACTTAAGACTACTACACTGAAAGCAGCAGGTGAACCT